ACTGGCAGCCTGGCTGCACTTAAATTCTTCAGTTGTGGTGCCAAAAAGCAGAGGATGCTCACCAAGCCTAAATCTCCCAATTATCACATACCTTTAGCGAGTTCCTTTTTCCCAGGTTTTTCTAGTTTCTCGGGTTTTTCAGGTTTTTTATGTTTCTCCGGCTTTTCAGCTTTCTCCGGCTTTTCAGCTTTCTCTTTTTGAATGGCTAAAACAACAGCAGCAGCATTGTTAGGACTCTGAAACAGACATTTTGCTGTAGCCTTATCTTGTTCTTTAGTGTTGCTCAGGTTGCCCAATGAGTTTCAGAATTTCAGCAGGATTTGGTCTCCAGACTCCAAGTCCAACACTGATCCCACTACCAGAAGTGCAGTACCCTTTTCAGCCTGAGGGCTGCATGGCATTTCAGAGACCCTTTCCGGGGACCAGAGACTAAAATACCCTCCTTCCCAAGGGAGTCACTAAATAATTGGTGGTGGGGAAGAGGGGGTCTGACCCTCTGGGGAAGAAAGGTGACCTCAAGAGGGGCAGATTGGATGTGCCCCTCCAACCTAAAGCTTCGCACTCCTGCGTTGCACCATTCTGGTTCCCACAGTATAATTAGATCAAGTGTTAAGTAATTGATTAAAGCACTTTGAAGTTCAGATAGCACTTTTCCCCCTCTTATATCTCATATGAAGTAATCACACAAAGATGGCCTTCATGGCCCCTTCCAACTCTATTATATGATTCTATGGAACCAGATATCCATATATTTGTGTGAAGGCTGTGCCCCTGTATACCCAGTTTCTGCATATGCATAAATGCACCGTGTCATGGGACCTTTAATGACAGGCCTCCTGACTGGACTGAACATGTATGTGCTTCACTGCTCCCTTCCATACTCAACTGGACTTTGGGGCTGGAGAGAACATGTCAGACCTGCTTCTGTCTCTCTGTCCCCAAAATGTTTACTGTATCCTGTCATCCTTCATTCTACAAGCCTAACCTATTTTACATGGACTAATTTTGAGTAAACCTATTTCCAGTCCAATGTCAAGTCCTCTCTGCCCTTTAACAACTTTCTGTTCTTAAAAAAAAGCCCTGATAAGTGAGTTTTTTGGGGTAAGGGGAGTTAATTCAACAGCAAGAAGATAAATTAGCAATTATGAGTTCCATTAGTAAGCACATCTCTTCAGGAAGGGTCTACATTTTTAAGCACTGCTAGCGGAGGACCTGATTTCAGCAGACATGCAGAATTAACACCCACAGACAGCTGCTAACAGAACACCCCCACAACCCATGTGCTGACACGCACAGTTTCTGAGGTCTTCAGAAACTAGTTGGGAAGATACTTGCAATAGAAAAAACAAGGTTTGCTGCTTTCCCCATAAAGCAAGCTCTTTTTTATTCTTTCCTCAGTGTGTAGCAATATTCCTGAAGAGGATGGTTTCATTCTTCAGAGTAATGTGGGGAAATGGTTCTGTACTCTTTGCCTCTGGCTAGAGTTAGCAATCAACCAGGAAAATAGAACCATTCTCAGATATGGTTTGTGATTTGTTTTTTGCTTTTCAGCCAGGCCAGGGAAGCAAAGTGCAGACCTCAGACAGTTCTCTGCCTTATACGTATATTTTAAGCAACACCCCTTCCTTTTCATTTTAGAGCCCCAATTACAGACCATGAAAGGAGGGAAGTTTTGGATGTCATTCAGGGGAAGCAATGAAGTTTTGATGTAGGCATGTTAAAATTCTGGCTCCTCTTCACTACTACCGGTTACAGTGCTTAAATCCTCATTATGCTTGGAATGATGCTATGTTCCCAGACAGGAAGGAAGTTGCAGAAATCTGCAATGGACTCAGATGAGTTCAAATTTCTTAGATTCTGGCCCATGGATTCCTCAGTGGGCCATACTTTTCTGGGCTATGTGGACTTGTAAACCATTTTACTTTCATGCAAATATAGTTGCAGAAAAATATGAAAAAAAGAAAAATTGACCAAACACATGCATTTTCTTCCTACCATAAACTGCAAAACTAGACATTTGTATTGGACGTGCACATTTTGGTGAATTTATGAATTTGCTTGTGAATGAATTTGCACAAGATCCACTTCTGTCAATAAGTGGAAGGTGGAACAAAACCTTCTGCAAAATGCAGACAGAAGACAATTTACAGTGTCATACATCCCTACGAGAAGGCTGAGAATGTCAGGACGTTTGAATTACTCCTGTTGCACCCAAAGTGCAAAGAATAAAAAGGAGGGGTAGAGGTTCATTGCCTTATTTTGCTGCAAAGCTCCTCAAAATCATATTGAACTTCTGGCATTCTAAAAGGTCAATTACCACTAGTATAGGATAGGGGTGATTTTCTTTCTTCCTGATTTGGGATTCACCTAATTTGGGGGAGGCAAGAGTTGAGGTGCAAAGTGATCTGTTCTGTTACCTGAGAAGGGGATTATGAAGGTCTACCCAGAAGGAGCTGTTTGCATGAAATATGCTATTGCCCACATTAAACTACTCCCCCTTCCCTTCTCTTAAAAAACAACCCTCTTAAGAAGCAATTGGGTCCCAGAACGGATTTTCCCATGCCCAAAACATTCCCCTTCCTTGCTCTCAGCGGCCAACTACTCAGCTAAACTAAAACGACTCAGTTTACCATCTGCAAATTGGATAGTAATTTTCAGGGTGAGAAGTAACACGGATCCAGCCCTACACCTGGTGACTTAAGAGATTGCATCCTGCATGATTCTGACCCAATGCACTTTGTCCATGGAGGAGTATGCTACAATAAATGTGTAAGGTTTTAAGGTGCCATATGACTTTTTCCTAGGGATAATGAGTGTTGTTTTTTGTCATTGTTTCATGTGCTTTTCATCAGAAGCTGCCAAAGCAGCCTACAAAATTTAAAACCTTATAAAAATGCAGCTATATTCAATTTAATCTAGTACAAAATAACATCCAGAATAACATATTCATGGACAGATGCCAAGCAAACAAATGACTTGTTCTAACTTCTTAAACCCTGTTTAAACCCTGACATATTTCCATGGCCTGTGAAAGTTCACTCTCACTCAGGAAGAGATAGGAACAGGTTTAATCATCCTAGAATTCGAAATCTCTTTTGGCAACACCTGCATTGATAGATAAGCACAGAGCCTTAAGCCACAACTCTCTCCATGTCCTTATGAAGAGGTGTTGGTCTTTGTTGTCCTACAATTTGGGATTAGCATATTGTGCTGTTACTAGGATGCCAGAACTCACAGGACAGGGCTGGCAACCTAATTAGCACATTCCTTCATCCCATCTTTGATGGTAGGAAAAAGGTATTTGTTCATCCCATCATTATGCTCTATATTTATCTACATTCCTTTATTTCCAGCCTGTGATTTATTGCAATAAAGAGACTTCCCAGTTGCATATTGTTACCCCTTGGCTCATGCAAACATGAATACCTTCAACAGTGAACTTCATGTAAATGTTATTGCAAAGGACATGTACAAAGCCAACTCTTTTGTGCTCTTTTGCCTAAGTAAATGTTTCTATTTAGGTTTATCAAATGGCCCATGTTAAATCACCTTGGTTTTTTAAATTAGTGTTATTCCTTTTCCCCACCACAGCAACTTAGCTCTTAGCTGAGCTTCAGTGTGCAGTTTTAAATTAAAACCACTTGTGCAAATGAGAGAATGCAAATGTGACTTTCATCTGGAAAAGGGAGGAATCCTGGCTTTGCTGCAAACAGTTAAAAGAGAGGAAATGCTGACAAAACTATAAAATTCTGCATGCCATTCAACAAAAAGAATGGTATCCATTAGCTTTCTCTGTTCAGTGTTGACTGTTTTGTTTGTTTATCTTTTTAAAAATGCAAATTAGCTTGCCTTAATGAAGATCTCCTTGATTGGCTTCAGGTTCCTCCCCACTTGTGGAGGGACTGCACCTGTACCTTGGTAAGGGCATAGACACCCCCGCCCTATACACACACACTCCTGCCAAACACCGTTGACAGGAGCCATTAGTGCATTGCTGATGGCTGGCCTACTTTGTGAGTAGGACTTGCTCCTTGGGAGCTTATGGGAAATCTGTTAATAGCTGCTAAAATGCCTATACAGGATGGATGAAGAAACAAGCGCACACTGCCGGGCCAAGAAGGGCTGGTGGCTTGAATGAGTTCCAGCAAAGGGCTTTGTGTCTTGCCTCTGAAGCATGGCCACCCTTTCTACCCTTCTAGAAAGAAGTAATTCTGAAGACAATGGATTGGCATCAATAATCTCAGTGCTGATTAATCGATCATGATTTACACATAAAAATTGGCTTTCTTAAGTTGAAATGGTTCTAACATGCTGATATGTATTTTTAAGAAAACCTGTAAATATACAAACTTGCATAATCAACACACACACACGCACACACCCCTTCTCATAAAATGAGTCAGAATCACTGCAATCTTCCCTTCAGTCTGTCCCCAACCCACCCTGTCTCTCAATCTGCCTCTCCATGTCAGGAAAGCAACCTCAGAGATGAAGGTAAAGGGAGTATTCTGGTGGGTAGGGAGAGGAGGAGACTGCAGAGGGCAAGGGATGAGCTATTCTGCCTCTTTTGCAGCTTCCCTCCCTGTCCCTCTGAAGCACCTGAGTCAGATGTCAAAAAATGCCCATCTACTGAAGATGCAGAGCGGGAGGTGTGACAGCCCCTCTGTTGCTTTTCTTGTTCTGCACAGGACACTCATAATTCTTTGAGTCTGGGGACTTAAGAACCCACAGTATTGTACCCTCAATATTTTGATTTTGGGGGATTTTTTCTTTGTTATCATGCCACATTTTCTTATTTTTTGTACATGCTTTCCTATAATATACACATCTTTTGCCTAATGTATATTATTTGTACACAAAGTTTTGTTTAGGGCCGAATTCTGAGAAATGCAAATACTAACTGATAGCCATACGGTGGCTGATTGTATTGCTGCACAAAATGCAAACTTAGTAAATACTTACTGAAAAACAAACTGAACAAAAGTCTCCTCCATGACTACTCCATGTCCATGGGGTTTTCATGGCAAGGATACTGGAGTGGGTTGTCCGTCATGGGTGGCCCTGCACGGCGTAGCTCAGAGCTTCATTGTGCTACACAAGCCCCTTCGCCACAGCAAGGCAGTGATCCATGAAGGGGCATGACTACTAAGCAGGGCTATCAAAGACAGGACTTTTCAGGGGGCATTCTTCCATAGAGCCACAATAAGTGAGAGACAATGGCATATAACAACATGATTACTAAATAATACCTCTACTGAACTAATGGGCAAGTATGTAGAGGATTGCAGCCTTAAAACACATTCTCTGTAGGAGCGATGTGTGCGTGCGTGTGTGTGTGTGTGTGTGTGGCAAGTACTTTGTTGCAATCAGTTGGTCAGCCCACACTAAATTCTACCCAAGAGAATTTAGCCCGCACGCCATATGCTACTGCTCAGATTAAACTGAGCCTACCCCACAATCCCAGCAGTTTTGGGAGCAGCTGTGAACAAGTGCTCAGCAAATGGTCAACAGCAGCAGGTTGCATTGGCATATCTGGGACAGCCTGAGGTGATCTGGGTGAAAGTCAGTCAGCCTAAAAAGACAGTAATGGTTATGGGCCTGGTTTCTGTTGTTGTCATTAATGCTATTAGATAAGGAATGTAAGTGAGGGAACCACTGTTGCCTTTTGCTCTTCACCCACAGTTTCTGGAACAAGACAAGTCAGGTTCTGAAATGGTCCATTCGGGGGTGATAATGGCCTCTTGCATGGGCTGCTGTACCATCTTCCCAACTGCAGTGGATCAGAGATTGTGCTAAAGCAGCGGCCCATAAATCCCACTCATTCCAAAGATGTCCTATTCCAGCTGTGCGAAAGGGATCAAGCAGCTTCTCCAAACCAATCTGAAAGGTGGCATTTCCTAGTTTTTTTCCAGCTAGCTGCTACAGCATCTGATGATCTTTTAAATGATGAGTAAGGTTATTCAGCCCAAGCGCAGATATTTGTGTGCATTTTTCTAAAAGCTTCTAGACAGATGTGCACATTCTTATACTCACAGTATAACCATGATAAAACAAACAGAAATAATGACCTTTGGGTGGTGGCTTCTTTTCAATTTTCTCTTCTTTTTCAGCCTTGTCTATGTGGACTTCTGAGGGGTGGGGAGACAAAGGAAAAAACTCAGCAGTTATTGGAAGAGAAAGCGCTGCCATAAGAAAGCAATGAACAAAGTGTACGGGAAATACTTCAGTGTTGATAAGCATTCAGCTGAAGAAACTGAAATGATGAATGATAAGTAAACACAACGTGGCTCCTACCCACACGTCAGCCCCTGTTCTCAAAGTGTTTAATACTACTTCTATCAAATTTGGAATTGCTTTTTTTTCTTATTGGCTGGAGAAATGGGACTTGGTTTTGATCTAAAGATGTCTTCAAGTTATTAGAAATGGATTTGAATATGATCATAGAATGTTAAAAGATATGTAGTAAGGGGTTGACCCAGTAAGTCCGATGTCTGAGAATTGATGTTTTTAGTAGTAGTTTAAAATTTTAATAAAATTTTGTTTAAAAAAAGTGTTTAATACTGTGGCTTTCTGTTTAATATTTATCATTTATGGTGCATTCCAATGGCCCTTGAGACTCTCTCTCACTTTCATTTTCTGTGGACCAAGGGATGTGTGAAGAATCCACTGTGGGGCAAAAATCCAATGGATTTCCACAATTTCAAGCTAGATTCCAGTTCATGAAGCCTGTCCTGGCACCAACTCACCACGGTTTGTTCTGAACTATCTCATTGATGTCATCTCGTTTCTTTCCACCACAAATGAATAGTGCACAAATAACCACCTGAAAACCATGCCCATTCAACTAATTTGCTCAAATTAGGGTTTTATGCATACCAGCTAATTCTCCGCATAGCACACTAGAGCCATGTGGTTTTCAGGCACTTCTTTGTAACTTCTCTTTTTTACCTTGCACAATTTACAGTTCATTTTAGAGATTAAAGACAGAAAAAATGTCCCACTTTCAGGATCTGAAAGGAGCAGAAAATCTGTCCAGTTCAAATGAGATGGACATCATCCTTTTAGTACCTTAACCCCAAGCTGAACCCAAATACTCAGGTATAACCCAACAGATTTAGATAAAAGGCACAGAGTCAGCACTTGGGGTGTTCTAGTTGCCTGCTCACATTGCCTGCCCCACTGAGGATAGTTCCAGACTGCTGCATGTGCACAGGGAGAGTTTTTTTTTCTCCTAAACCTAACCTTAAGTGTATCCACAACATGCAGAAAAGTAGTGCACAGGCACTCTTGTTGGCTCCCTTTATTTGAACATCTAGACTGTGTCCAGGTCTCTAGAGATGCAGGGGGGTCCAGGCTTTCTTAATTCTAACCCTAAAATTTATTTATTTATTTATTTATATTTTGATTTATATCCTGCCTTTTTCCTACAAAGGGCTCAAGGCAGCTTACATCATTCTTCTCCTCCATCTTATCCCCACAACAACAACCCTGTGAGGCAGTTTGGGCTGAGAGTCTGTGACTGGCCCAAAGTCACCCCGTTGGCTCCGTGGCTGAGTGGGGACTAGAACCCACATCGTCTGAGTCCCAGTCCCGTGCTCTTAACCACTACACCACACTGGCTCTCCACACTTGCTGTGGTGGGGGAAATGATCCATAACCCCACCCAAATGTGCCACTTTAATCTTTATTTTATATATATATATATATATATATATATATATATATATATA